CCGAAACGTATTTTGATTGATAAATTGAGACAATAAATGACTGAAACCCAGGAATGAATTTGATTTGGAATTGAAACACAGTCAGGAAAGTATATACGAATTGTTAGTATAGTAGGCCCTTTTTCTGACAGCGCCATGTAAATGTCGCCATCCTGGCAGGCCTACAAGCGCTAAATCGCCGGTTATACGCCTGAATTTCTGCAATGTTTTTCGAGAAAATCACAAAAATGTGCCCAAGAAGAAGAAACCAGTTTTGTGATTAGAATCGCGCTTTCACAATATTTTCATTTCGAATCCACATCTCTAAGTCGTTCGCTCCCATCAGCGCTGATTACCCACTTTCAAAGCCTATCTAAAGATAAGGAGATTTGTTTGGTTTCGACTTTTGCCTCTGCAATGCCTACAAGTGCAAATAAAACAACAATCGTTTATCTTTGCACCTGGACTTCGGTTTTCTTGCGTATCAACGGGTTGCGGTGTTTGTAGAGCAGGGCGAACAAACTTTTCGAAAAAATTATAAAAACGCTGGCTTTTCAAACCGGTTTAGTCATAAAAATATACGCAATTTCTTATCGAGATAGGTACTTGTGGCAAAGTGAAATGAAATGGTTTCGGAGGCATTTTATCTGTGACACTCGATTAGATCGACGAACGAACAAACTGAGAATAGCGAAAACTTGCGTAGTCATAGAGCAGAGAAAATGGTTTTCGAATGTCCTGAATGAATCACCCCTGAAGACGCAAGCCACTCGTGCTTCCGAAACGTCAGGAATAAATACTTTTTCACGACTGTTGCGATCTAAAACCCTGAGAAAGTCAACAGTTTCAAGCAGTTGCATCGACAGCCTAATCTCATTTTATAGGTAAATTGCCTCAAAAAATCGAACGGTGTATTGCACAAACTGGAATTTTCGTGAATTTTCCGAAATGACCAATAAAATTTTATATTTTCATTATTATTTCAATTTTACTGCTTATTTTCACACGTTAATCGTTATTGATTTGTTTGATTAAGTTTATTTCGACTGAAAAGTTTGATTGTGCGACTGAGCTCCAAATCGCTCAATTCGGTCGCACAGCAATTAATTTAAAATTGGGCCCGAACATACAGTTTTTGTTTATAAAATGATTCGAGGGTCTGGAAAGCTATTTAAAAAAACTAAGTTGATGATGGTGCGCTGACAACGAAAAACTTCGAATTTATAACATTTTCTTTACAGTGTCTAGTTTAAATTTGCGAATTTTTACGGTATACTTATATTCGCATTGCTGAAAATATTTTGTGTCGATAGAGAATCTAAGAGGAAAATCTCGCTCCGCCCTGATTTCTGATGTCTTTGGGGGAAGGCAATGACTAATACTTGCTCAAATTTCTCAATAATTTTAGAAATTTGGCATTCATCTACATGGCCATAACATCTTAATACCTGTTGGTTCTTAAACCAAAAAATATGATTATTATTTGATCGTTTCGTACTAAACTGGCGGAACAGAAGGCGATTTTTTGCGGGCCAAGCCGTGGTTTACGTAGGATTTATTGTTTTTTTCATTTAGTACATCAATTGCTAAAGCCAGTGCAAAACTAAAAAAGAGTAATTTAAAATCTGGATTGTGTTCTTGATAATAATTGCTAAATTGCAAAAAATTTCCTGCTAAAATGAAAAAAGCTGAATTTCAGCCTTTTAATGTAGGTACTGGACGTTTGAAAGCCAAAATAGGGCAATTTCCCCGGTTTTCCGAACTCAGATTTTTTGCAATTTGGCAACGTATCAGAAGAATTTTTTTTCAATCAATCAAATTATTATCAAATCTCTGAAAAAAGGGGCAACGTGGCAGTTGTCATGGTAGCGCAGTTGTCAGTCATTGACACGTAAGGCCGATATACCGGGGTAGATTGTGAATTACTAACGGTTTAATTGTAATATTAACATCTAATTGTTTTAGCATTAAAAAGTGTATTTCGGCCCTTGACTGCAAATGTTTACAGTTGGGTTGCAAAGGTGTTTTGTTCACCGCGATCATCCAAACGAGTAAACGTAAAATTTGCCGTTGAAAATATTGCCGTGCGAACATGCACTCTCTGCTGCTTTGTCGATAACAAAAAAAAACTAAAAACTCATCGAAGGGACGCTCCAGCTAGTGATTATATCACTCAAACCTCAATATCGATGGCGTTTTTTCGTAAAGGTGAATAAATATTCAGTGTGATACCGGTAACGAACAAAATATGTTCTCAGTCCTTTTTGGGTGCCACTAAGTCAAATGCGGTAGTTCGTAAAAGTTCCTTAATTTGATTTCTGAAGAATGAAACTAACGCCACTTTATCGAGTGAAGTGTTTATTTGAACGGTTATAATAGAAATATAAAATTAGTGTTCGTCTAATATTAACCACCTGCAGTGTGCTTGATGCGTAAGGTAATTTGTGTCTTTTATTGGAGTTTTTTCTTCGATCTTAATTTAAACGGTTCCTGTGATTCCAATTTTCCAAATTCCAAATAATTTTTGCTCACCTTTCAAGTGTTTTTATATGAACATTTTCAATGCACGTGAATATAAATCGGGTTTCGTTCGTTTGTTTCGTAGTATAATGCAATCTGTTCAGTGAATCGTATCCAAAATTAAACGGTTTTGGACCCGCATTAGGAACAGTTTTCTAACTCGAAAACATTTTCAACTTTAGGGGCTTTACTGTTTTTTTTCACAAACTTCTTTTTGGGTATTTCACCTCAAAAATTTTTGTCTTTAAAAAAGACAGATTGATAAACAGTGCTTTTGCACTATTTATCAATCTGTAATAAAAGACGTGAGGAAATTCTGTCTTTTTTAATGACAAACATTTTTGAGGTGAAATACCCAAAAAGAAGTTTGTAAAAAAATGAGTCCGCCTCACCAATATAGAACTTATCTACAACTTGGGCTTTACTGTATTTAAACTAGGCGTTTTTTCTCAGGTTTTCGTTCAGTCAAATGTACGTAATTCTCATCAAGAAGACCCCCCGTAGAAGACAGTATCATTACGGTTGCCATAGAAACACAGTTGACAGCACAAGATGGTTGCAAACTTGACATCTATGCCCTATTGATTCGGACAGGACGGTTGGCTGTCACTCGACGGCCTGTCAAAGGCTCACCACGTGCAAAACATTGACAGAGTGTCACTCGAACACGCAGTTTTCATGGAATGTGCGGTGTTGGTGTGAAGATCCCAAATAACATGAGCCAGGTAAGTGGACGACTTGAAACGACCCAAACGCAGCCTTACCTTGTTTTCGGAAACGTTGATGATGACATAGATGAGTAGAACGATCTCCTGTTCATCGGAGCCCATGAGGGGCCCTTGGAGCCCCCCAGTGGCCACGTAGAGAACGCAAAGATGTCGCGGTGCGGCCATGCTGAGGCCTTTGATGCTCATTTGGGGCTGATCGGTTGGCGCCGTGTCCGTTTTCGAATCTAGCAACACATTTTATAAACAAACGCTAGCGGCCGCCATGTTGCCACGTGAGACCTTCCGCAGAACCCGTTATTAACAGTTGGGAAAGTCCTCGATCACCGCTCTTCTATGCGTGAACTTTCCCGCAGAATCAGTTCAAATTATTTAGACGGTCTTTATCCGGAACCGGAAATTGGCCTGCACTCGATCGCTGTGGAAGTTGTGCGAGGCGATGAACAATCGGAAAGTCCACCGTACGTGTACTTAACCAAACGTTTTCGGCAAAATCACTGAACACAACAGGTTGCGACCCGTTTACGATCACTTGATCGGCAAGTAAACGCGGGACGATCAGAAAAACACAGAAAAAGGGTCAGGACGCGTCGATTTTCACTGGCTTATCGCAAAGGGAAAACGTGTTTGTTGCTGTTCCGAATACCTGGTATGGCAATCTCACCGGGCCGACTGATGGAGGTAGACTGGTTCTCTTACCTGGCGGCGCCGACCAATCACAGGCCAGGACGGAGGGAACGCAAGGTAACTAACTGTACCTCACCGTACTGCATGTTCCTATCGTTATATAATTAAGCGACTTGGTAAGCTCGAGCGCTTTTTACATGGACTTTTCCAAAAGTTTACCGCTAAATGGGCCAAATCCATTTGCCTCCTTTCAATTACCCATCAGCAGCTAATCAAAACCCACCCTGTATATAAACGCGTCGATTGCTCAAAAGGTTCAATTCATCCAGATGCCCACCTGTTGGAGCTCCAAAGGTTGGACAGCTTGACGTTTGGCAATACTGTCCGAATCTGCTAAGTAAAGCCGACCATACACTTTGATATTTGCAGAAGGATCTGCCGGTTTGCCTAAGTGACAAACGCTTAACAGGGAATTTCACAGCGACTTAATAATAATGACTGCTAACAATACAGAAAGTCTTCGGTATTTTCGAGTGATTGATCAAATGTTTTGGGGCAACTTCAAACTTTCGACTAAAAAAAGGCCGTATTAGGCGAAAAACGTTTGATGTTTCCCGCTGGGCTTCGGCGAGCTCGTCCCTTTAAATCTGTTTTCGCGGTGTTGCCAGTTGCTTTTAAGGATCAACTTGTCGTATGAGGCAAGGATTCCATTCAATTCTCTATCCAACGATGCCAAAACGAAGTGTGTGGGTCGAATGGTTCTTGCGAAACTTCGAAAAAAGCAGCGTCATGTTCAAGTGGATTTTGCAACTCAAAAAAAACCACGCAAATCTAAAACTTCTTGAATTCAAGCATTTGTTGAGAAAACTGTCAACATTTCCTCATCCATGGTTCACTTTCTAAAAAGGTAATTTATTTCTGTCTAGAATGATGTACAAATGAGCGTTCTTGCTCATTTTGCCTCCGAGAAATGAGCAAAAACGGGACGGAAAACAAGAAATTTTGCAATAATCTTACGCCACCCTTGCACAAAAGGACGATAATTTTTCTAATTTCATGGACAACAGAAGACTATATTTTTTCTACATAACCCCGCCCCTGAATTAAAAGCTGGATCCGCCCTTGGTATGAGGACTACCAAATGTTTCGTTTTTTTGATGTTTTACCTTAAAAGCACTTTATATTAATCAGCTTCGGTGCGAAAAATCTAGCGGCTGAACCAAATTTCTATATAAAAATTGAAACCTCGACTTAAATTGATTAAATTAAAGTTAATTAAAATTGAAACTTTGGAGAAGATTATCTAACTACATTAAATCGGGGTGAAATCGAGTTATTAAGTAGTGTGTTGTCAGCAAGCAATTTGTGGCGCTTAAGCTTCAATCAGATGCAAACAACAGAGGAAAAATAACAACTCTGCATTTATAGCTGATTTTGGTTTGCAAGCAAGTTGCTTCAACTTCCGGGAAAATATTGCTGCAACGTTTCCAGTGTATGTTCGCCTTTAAAGCGCCCCATGTATTTTCAGCCATGTTGCCGCTGCTCAACCTCCCCTTTTGACGGCTTCAAAATCCTTGTGTGACAGGAAATTTTGCTTGGCTCGTTTCGCTTAACATTGTGAAAAGTATGCGTGTTTATTCGTTCAACTTTCCTTATTTCATATGTTTTCGTAGGCAGCAAAATCATTTGTACGACAGTCAATGGTGTTTTGCTCAGTCATTTAATGCTAATGATCAGGCTAAAACTGGTCACACCAGGTCAAGGGAAACATAGAAGCGTATTTGTTTTCGCAAAAAAAACTGCAACTCATTCAGGTTGGCCAGAATGGCAGATTTCCATTGAAATTCAAAAACTGGTTCGTTCGAACCAGTGCGACCGTTACCGACTGCGTGCACAACTAGTTGATTCGGGAAAATCGCTTAATAACGAACGATAATTTACGGTTGTCGTTTGAAAAATACTAGGCAAAGTCCACGACTTGAACGAAATTCATCGAAACAATGGAAACAAATATACGACTGTGACTACTTTCCATTTTTAACCTCTCTGTCGCCTTGAACCCTCCTGGATCCATATTTAGCGCGCGTATTGTTCTCGAAGCTGAAATGGCCGTCGATTTGAATTTCTAATTGAAGAAAGGTGGCCGCATTTTCACCTTTTCGGACGTCAATTTCTTCAGTTCGGGGAAAAAACAGTTTGGAAGATCGTTGCGGTGACCAGAAGGCGCTGAAGACAAGATGGCACGGCAACGACCGGTCGTTCAACCTGCTGCAAACCCATTGCCAGCAGCGTACTATGCGGGTACCATCAATACAGGTGGACTGAATAATGACTATTTAATTTTCATTGATTTCAATAATGCTACAATATTATTATTAGATATAGAATTAGAATAGTTTGCTATTCTTACAATTTAAATATTTTCCCGTACCTACAAAAAGAAACTATAAATGGTCGGTTTTATAAGGCTTGGAAGCGTTAAAATGGACATATTACTAGATATAAACTTAAAAGGTGCTTCAAATCAATTTTTATTTAAACCAAGGAGCAAAATGCTCCTAAAACTCTATAAAACCCAATTTTGCCATTGAATTTTTTTTAAGCACTATTTGAATATTTTTGACGCAGATAACTGATTTCTCTGTGATTTTTGAGTTTTTCAAAAAGCCGATAATTCTGTGGCGTTCATGCTTCTGATGCTTTTAGAGTTTGCCAAACTAGCCTAGCAGTGTTGCCTAACTGACGAGTGGCTCATTGCAGTAACGCCTGTCATGGATCCATGATTTGGATTCAACGACTCTAACACAAACTAGCCTAAAATTTTCAAGTTTGTTTTGTTTATGGACGGGTTGTTTACATACACCTATCGTTTATGGCTAGTATGTACGTTTTTATTAGTTTTCCCTTTCGAAAGTTACTTAAACAAGGAGAAAATGAAGTCCTGCGTACGCCATTATATATTCTTATGAAGTTTATTGGATAAACAGTGATTGTTTAATGCCTTCGCGATTGATTGCTCCTTGGTTTAAATAAAAATTGATTTAAAGCAGCTTCTAAGTTTACATCTAATAATATAAATATGTCGATTCTAGCGCTTCCAAGCTCATAAAACCGACTATTTATAATTTCTTTTTGTAGGTACGGGAAAATATTTAAATTGTAAGAATAGCAAACTATTCTAATTCAGAGGTGTTCTGTGTGCGATAGTCACTCGTAACTAGCCTAGCAGTGTTGCCTACCTGTTGGGGATTGTTATCTAACTTCAGACGTGTAGTTGAAAAATTATTAGGTTACGAAGCACATGTCTTGCTGATTATTTACTTGAATTCAGAGACAAGACTGTCTCTGCTTGAAATAGTTAATCAAAAACATGGCAGCAAACGGAGAAGAAACCCCAAGTGAAAACACTGCGAAACCGAAGCCTAAAGTGGCCAGGTAAGTTAGTAATACAATTTTCATCATGATCATTCTTTTACATCCATGCCGATGTAAAATACGTGGGGCCAAATAAAGTGCAAATTTCGTGTGTTCAAGTGTTATTTTCATGCTCATGAGTTTCGCTTTTCAACATTTTCCCTTAAACTGTTAAACTTCATGTTGTGCTTGTTATGTATATTTGTATAATTGATGCATTGGTGTCTGTAGCAAGGATAAGGCGGTGGTGATAAAGGGGAAGCCAAAGTCTGGTCGCTTTTGGAAAACTGAAAAGACCAAGTTTTCCTCCATCATCAAGTCCAGGGGACTGAAAAGTTCGTTCGAAAAGAAGCAGGCACTCAGAGAGAAGCTGCAACGGATAAAGGAGGAGTCGCGCGAACGAAAGGCCCAAAAGCAGGAGCAAGAGGAGCAGCGAAAGGAGCGACGCAGGGAAAATTTGAAGAGGCGGGAGGAGAACCAGAAAAAGGCTGAAATTGTGCAGGTGATCACCAACACGAAGAAGTTGAGCAAAATGAAGAAAAAGCATTTGAGGAATGTGGAGAAACGCGACACAACGATTGTTTCCAAATAAAACTTTTTAATCGCTACTGTATGGTTACCTACATTCGGAAAATTCCAAAGCGTGTATGGGCGGGTTTCTTGTTTAGGGCCGCTGCCAGGCTCATTCCAAGCACCTTCCTAGTGTCTCTTGGATCGATCACTCCGTCGTCCCAAAGCCTACGAGCAGTTGTTTTTATGCATAAGACATGGATGGAAATGGCCAACCACCCTACCGAGCTGTGCTGAAATATGGCGAGCCCTCGCTATCAAATTTATCAATCACGCCCCTTTCAAAATCCATCTTCTCCTGGTCGTTCCACTGTTTGTTGGCCACTTGCGACAGAACTCCTGCGGCCTGCGCCCCTCCCATAACAGAAATCCGTGCGTTCGGCCACATGTAGAGGAACCGGGGCGAGAAGGCCCGGCCGCACATACCATAATTGCCTGCGCCGTAGGAGCCCCCAATAATCACGGTGATTTTCGGCACTTGGGCGCACGCCACTGCTGTTACAAGTTTGGCGCCGTTCTTTGCTATGCCTCCAGTTTCCGCCTGTCTGCCCACCATAAAACCTAAGAAAAAAACCACTACTGTAGCGAAATGCGTACGTTATTTTGCAAGTCGCGTTTGCTCTGTTTTGTCTCTAAGTAGACGCGCGCTACTTTACCTGTGATGTTCTGCAAAAACAGCAGAGGCAGCGTTCGCTGGCAGCACAGTTGGACGAAATGGGCGCCTTTGAGGGCGCTTTCCGAGAACAGCACCCCATTGTTGCCCAAAACGCCCACCGTTTTGCCGTAGATTTTCGCAAAGCCGCACACCAAAGTTTCGCCGTATTTCTTCTTGAACTCCTCGAACCGCGAACCGTCCACCAATCTGCAACACCATTGGGTTTCTCTTTGTTTTCTTGTGGTCCTTCAAGGGCCCACAGACTTCGGTTTTTTTAGCCGTCCACGCATAATCAACTGAAGTCTGTGGGGGCTCTTAATGATGAGGACGAGGATCCAGCTTTAAATTCAGAGGGGGCTTTTAATTCAAATTATCGTCGTTTTGTGCAAGGGTGGCGCAAGATTATTGCAAAATTTCATGTTTTCCGTCCCGTTTTGCATGTTTCTCGGAAGCAAAATGAGC